TAGGCAAGCAGCTTGGTGTGAAGAAATCAACTGTGGGAGCAATGTGATTTTCTGGATTTTTTTTTCTCATTTTGTCTCTCATAGTTGAGGTATACCTATGATGAAAATTACAGGCCTCTCTCATCTTTTTAAGTGGGAGAACTTGCACAATTGGTGGCTGACTAAATACTTTTTTGCCCCACTGTATGTTAAAATCAGTAAAAAGGATCAAGCTGCTCAGTTGAAGTAGAAGACTGCACAAGACTATCAGTACATCTGATTGTCTCCTGGGGGGGGCTTGCTCTTTATTAAGTATGTACTTAATGTTTGAATTTAGGAGATTTAGGGTGCCTTCTTTTATACATCATAACTTTAAAGTGTTGCATTTTAAAAAGAAGCATTTATTAGCCATACATTTGGCAAAAAGAACTTTTGCTTTGTTGTGAATCTTCTTCTGGTCAGTTTCAGCAGGATGTGTTTTTTCAATTTTGTTTGTGTCTCTCTTACATGTTTTGCACTCCCAGTTTTTTCACTCCTTGCCTAATTTTGATGTGATTATTTCACATATATTCAAAATTCCTAAATGTAAAACAGCCAAGATGATGGTTCTTCTCCTGATACTACTCTTATTGGAGCTCAGAATTCAAAGTAAATATTAGGAAGCTAAAGACCACTCATTCTGCCTTGAAATAAAAAGAACAGATTATTTTGATGGCCTGTTTAATATCTGTTAAATATTATGCAACTTTTTGTCTCTTTTTTAACAAAGCGTATCTTAGTATAGAGGGAAGAATATGACAAAAAGATTTAAAATCTTTAATTGAGGAAACTAGAATACCTTGTCTAAATTGCAGCCCAGTATATTTCAAATAGAATTAGACTATTCTTTAGAAAAATAAAATTACCCTCCAGAAATAAGGAATTATAGGAGTTAAAAACAGGCAGCCAGCCATTTGATTAAGCTTCCCAGTGGGCAATATTTTAAAAAATAAATCATTAGGACAGAGTTCTTTTGAATATATTTGTGAGGGGATTTTTCTATTTGCAGCAGCCCATTCCTTATAGGAAAATAGGGGCCTGCAGTCGGGCCCATCGAAGTAATCATTCAGCTGGATGTGGGCATTGCCATCTGATCTGTCCCTTGCAGGGTCAGTTTTAAAAAGTGGGCTCAGCCTCACAGCCAGCCAACAGCTGGCTGGCAGGAGAGTTTCTAGTTGCTTTTTCCCCTCAAATCCCCACAACTTGGAGAACAACTGTTCCCCTTGAGAACTATTCATACAGCTACAGTTGGGAAAACAACTTTAATCCATTTTGTGCTGTTCCACTAGAGGCCAGCAAAGTCTGTACTTGACGGCTACTTTTGTTAAACTCCATCTCCCCTAGTGTAAATCATCATCATCATCTAAACCTTGGATCTTCTTTTCTTGTTTTATGACATTCACAAAAATAAGCAGTGAAGTTTTAATCTGCAGCTTTTTTTTTTTAACCCAGTGTATTTTATATAAATGAGTCCCATATTTCATTATACTTGTCCATACAAAGTATATTATTATACTTATTATTATATTATATATTGTCCATACAAACATCTATAGACAATTTGCTCATGATGGCCATATAACTTTATTAGAAATATATATGTATGTACTTGAATAATATTTGTATTAGATAAGCATATACAGAATTATAACTGTTTACTGTTATAATGATATAACACTTTTTTTTGTTGTATATTTTTTTTCTTTTGTAATCAAAAAATTTAAAAGTTTTAATTTGCAGCTAAAGGAAGTGAAATAGGTTCTGTGAAACAATGTGATACTTTCCCTTGAGTTGTATTTTTAAAAATGATAGTGCAGCCTCACTTTCGGTACTGAGTTTTTCTGTAATATCTCTTTTACAGGCATGTACCATATTTAACAATTCTGTTTGTTTCTGAAACGATCAGGAAT